GTAAGTTGGTGGAGGTGCTGGATTGTATGGCGGTTGCGCATTTCGCTTTCTACGGAGACCCCAATCATCATCATCACGTGCCGAAGGCTTATATTTCTTAGTTGTTGAGGGTGCTGAAGTACTTGGCGGATTTGTTGGTTTTGATGTTGTTACCTGAATAAATATTATAAAAAATTTTTATTGGATGGATAGCTTTAAATTTTTAAATAATTATTAAGAAATATTTAAATTTTTAATAAACATTGGACTGAAACTAATCTGCCTCTAATTTTTATTTAAATTAAAAATAATTTAAATTAATTACTGGGGGTGGCTTCTTTCCTTCACTAAGCACCACTATAAAGAAAATCAAAAATATAGAGAATAAACTAAATTTCATTTTTAATTTATTATTAAAGGGAATTTTTTTTCGATGTAAATATATAATTTGATTTAAATTTTCTACTCGTTTTATAGTAATTTTTGACATTTAATTTAACACATATTTTAGAATTTTATTTAGAAATACATATAAATTGTGAACTTTAAAAATTAAACATTAATATTTTTAAATGTTAACCACCAATAAATACTTAATTTGCTGAAAAATATTTTGCTAAAATTAAAAAAAACATATATGTATAACATTTAAATATTTTATAAGATATAAACTTTATAGTTATTTAATCATACATATGTAATTTCAAACAAAAAATGAACTTTTTAAATAAAAATTATAAAAGTTTTATTAAAATTTATAAATAAATTTTAAATTAATTAACTAATACATATAAACTAATACATATAAATTTCCAAAGATTGTAAATTAATTAACTAATTAATTTCTATAATTTTCTAATTTAGTTAAAATTTTATTAGCTAATATTTATTAGTTTTGTAAATATTGGAAGTTATTGGCAGAAATATATTTTAAAAACCAACATGGCGCTAGATGTTAATAGGTAAATATATTTTTATAATTTAAATTGACAATAATATGTAGATAAAGAAGTACAACACAAGAGTTTGTGTAAGTCTTTATTATTTATTTCCAAAGATTGTTTAATTCCTAAAATCCTTAAAGATTTAAAACTTTGTTTTATTTCATCAATTGAGAAGTAATTAAATATTCAGCTTCTTGACCTTCCAAAATTCCAAAAATTTCCGCCTATCAGTTCGTTTAATTGAAAGTTTTAGTTCAGTTTATCGGTTAGTGGTGAAAGAGATAAATCTCCATTCTTTTGTTTCTTGCTTCTTTCTAAACTAATTTTCCAATACTTCAACTCAAAACTAAAAAAAATCCCCGGAAGTCTTGATTCAATATTCAAAGCCGAGTTTTGGACGTTTTGTCTATTCTTGATTTTGTCATTAACTATCTTTAATTGTTTAGGAGATTTTAAATTTTTATTTTACAAATGCTTGAGTCTCTTTTTTTCCTTGACTGTGTTTAAAGTCTTAACCCCGATGTCCAACATCGACTAACGAAATTTCAGAAATTTTTGAGAAAACTCGAAATCCCGATTTTTTATGTCGGCATGTTTCTTGATGTACATACATATGTACAAACTATTTGTACTCTTGAATTTTACGGCGTCTCTCTCTCTTTTTTTTCTGCTTTTACTGCGTCCCTTCCTCGCCAACTACAATTTTATATATTATTTGCGTTCCACCACGGCTCTTTTTTCACAAATTCTCTCTATACGACCATAATATATTTGCTGCTTGGTCGCATTTAACGCAGCAATCGATATACTATTTTACTTACTAGTATCTAACATTATTTAGTCGTTTCCAACGAAAGCTTTATGAAAATAAAATTATTATTTTATTAATTTAAAAAAATTTTTAAAGATTTAAAGTTTTTTGACATAAATACTATATATTTATTTTTTAAGTAACCAAAAATTAGAGACATGCCTTGGTCTAGAGAACAACGTTCAAGACTTATTGCGGCCGTTAAGAACCATGAAATATTGTGGAGGTAACTACAAAATTATTAAAAAAATTTATTTTATTTTTTTCAGAACTTCTCAAAATAATCGTAACCATCAGCAACTTATGCGTGAAGCTTTAGAAATAGTTCATCATCAATTTGAGGGTGATGGCTTTACATGTAAGGAATGGAAAATAATTTTTAAAAAATTATTTTTTAATTAAAAAAATAGTTGATGAAGTTAAGCAGCAATGGAGAAATTTAAAAGATATTTTTTATAAAAGATATGAAGTTAGTTTAAAAAGAGCACAAAGTGGAGAACAACCAAATAAAGTTAAACCTTGTTGGGCACATTTTGACGAACTTAAATTTTTATTGACAAATCAACAATGGGTAGATCCGGAATTTAAAGGGCGTCATAGAAGGTGTTTGGCCTATAATAATAGGTAAAAATTATTTTGGAGAATTATATTAACTGTTAATATTTTTTAGTATTGAATTTACTGATTATACTTTTGACTATTCAATTGACAATGAAGGAAATAATAATAATTTATTAAAAATAAAAGAAGAATTAAAAAATACTGAGGAAGAAGAAGGAGGAGGGGAAGGGGGGTCTTCAAATAATTTATCAACAACAAATATTTTATATAATTTAACTACAACAATTGTGGAAAATAAAGAATTTAATAATAATATTAAACAACAAAGTGAACAAAAATATTTAAATAAAAGAAAAAGAAAAAATATTTTAAATAATACTGATAATTGTATTGAACAAAATAATAATAATTTAAATAAGCAACAAGATAGATTTAAATATTTTGGTTAGATTTATTTATTATTTGGATTTCCTTCCCTTGGGACTTGAAAAAAGAGGATACGAAAGTGAGAAAAGGGGTATACTAACTTGAAGGTTTAGCTCCTTCCACCTAAATGGCATCCAAATTGTAAAAAAGATTTAATATTTATTTTTAAAGGTATTTTTGTTGAAAGTGCAGTTCGTGATTTACATCAAGAATCACCGGAATTAGCTCGTCGATTAATGCAAAGTATTTATTCTAGTGTTTCTGCCCATCAAATAGAGGCTACGAATAAAAAGAGCATTTAGAAGGAAATTAAATTAAAAATTTAAAATGTTTTCTTATAAAAATCATTCTTACCTAGATTAAATGTTTAAAAAGTTTTGATAAATTTTTTGTAGAATTGATGATATTTTTATTTATTTATAACCTTTTCTCATTTTTGTTTATTTTTAATCTTTCACAACGGGGAATTCTGCGCGAAGAATTAATATATAAATAAATAAATATCCTCAACTTAAATAAATATTCTCTTCTATTTTTTGTTAAACTGCCAGAAAATACACGTAAATACCTCTGTGTAACGTTGTGCGCACACAAACAGACAGGCATATTTATTTCATTCAATTATTTGACAAAAATAATTTTTGTATTTTTTATTTGATTATTTTACTGTTCACACACATTTTTTGTTATTTTCTAAGGAAATCAAAAAAGTTATTCTCTTTAATTAATTTATATATTACAATTTATTGTATTTATTTGACATAAAATTAATTACAACAAACCCTCCAATCTTTACAAAAAAAATTAAATAAAAATTGTTATTAACTTGTAAATTATTAAAAAATGTAATTGTTTGGAAAAAATTTTTTAAATAATATTATTAAATGTTAAAGAATGTTTAAATCTTCATTTTAAATAGGGGAATTTTACAAAAGGTTTTTTAATTTATTGTTGTGATATTCTAAAATTATAGATTTTTTAAAATTTAAATATTATTAAATTTTTGTTTTGTTAATATTTAAATTTTTATATTCAAATTTTTCTTCTAAAATAGTTACTATTATTTATCACATTTCCCCAATTTTTTACTTCTTTTAAACTCCATCAATTTTTATCTGTTTGCCTTTTATTTTTTGCTTCCGTTCAGTCTTTTAAAAAATATTTTTGTTTAAATTCCAAGTTTTTCTCTTTCCAACTATTTTCTAGGAATCTTAAATAAATAAAATGTTCTTCTCTTCTCAACTTCCTCCTCTTAAACAATTTTCCTTTTTGCAATCAAAATTTGAAGTGTTCCGCGCAAATAAATATGAAAAGTTTTTAAAACTTGGCCAAAAAGAAAATAGAAAAGTTGTTAATAAACAAAATAATATTTTTAAAAATTATTTTCTGGATGATTTTTAAATTTTTTTGTGTAAATATTTGTTAATTTGTGAATTTACTGTAATTTTCTTTTAAAAATTATTTTTAAGTTCTTTTAAAAGCTAGTGTTGAATATTTATGTATATTTTAAGGAATTTGTCTTCAATGATTATTAAAAACAAAACTTGATAACAACTTTTATTATCTTCTTTTTTTATTTATTTTTCTCTTTTTCTTCTTTTATAAGTACTTAAAATCATTCCATTTCCTTCCAACAATCAATTAAACAAAAAATTTAAAGAGGAATATAAACTTGCGCACTTTAAAATATTTTTGATTGATCCGTTTGTCTAAAAGTTTTAGTATTTAGAGTAGATTGTTTATATTTATATATTTTTTAATTAAACCTCTTAGATGGCCATAACTTTTTTATAATTTAATTTAATTATTTGTTATAACTGTAATATAAAAGTTTATAAATACGCCTTTTTTAAGCAAAAATCTTTATCTCGTTTATTTTTTGTTTAATAGAATATAAATAGCTCTTTTTAATAAATTTAGTTTTTAGCAATAGTTCTGACATTTACCAACTTTTCTTGATGTGAAAATATTTTAAATCATATTTGAAAAAAATCTCCAAAAAATTTAACAAATATCTTATAAATATTGAATAATAATAAATTGATGGAAAGATAAAATTTAAAAAATAATTTTTATTATCTAAATATTTCAAATTAAATCAAAAATATTAAAATACATTTATTCGATTTTATTCTCTAAATAAAAATTTAAATATATCCCTTAAAATCGGAAAAACATTAAAATACCAAAATTTCTCTATTTTTGTTCTTGCTTTTAAATTTTCAAATTTTAATTATACATATTTTTAATATTTAAATTTAGTTAAAATTTAATTAATTAATAATTATTTAATTTTGCCGCATTGCGGTAAAGTGTCCCGTGCTCGTCTTCTGATTTTCCTCATATTTTTTATTTTTAAAATGATTAATTCGACAACAAATGAAATTGTTAGTAATGATGGAGGAAATTTGGAATTATTAAACCTTAAAAATGAAGAGAATAATGTTGATATTTATTTGGAAATGCTTAAAAATAAAGTGTTTAAAGGGGGAAAATTTTTAATTAAAATTAATTCTTTTTAGTTCTCTGATCCAACATTTTTGATTGGACTAGAACATTTTTTAGGTAATTATTCTATACCTGGTGGCAGTCAACTGTAAGTTTTTTAAAAAATTATTTTTTAATTAAATTAAACTAAAAATTAAAGAATATTTTTTGATGACTGTAAAAAACAATAATTTTTTAAGTGTTCGAGAATCAATCTCTCGCCACCTACGTCGCCTCTTTGGTGTTTCTCTTCGTTGGGAAGAACTTTTTTTGGTTAATAATGAATTGTCGGCTCTTGAGGTGTTCGTAAATACTTTTTGTTTGAATGGAGGTGAATGGTGTATTTTTTGACCTAATTAATTAACCTATATTTTTTGAATAATTAAAATACATACATATTTAATTCTCTTAAATTTTAAAAATAAATAAAATATTTTTTTAGATTTAATTCTCTGTCCAGCACCTTTTGCCTACCCAGAACTGGCAAAAAATATTAAAACACAAACTCAAATAGAATTTTGGCCAATTCCCCTTACAACTAACGGTAAACAATTGGAAATGGATGATTTAATAAATACATATCAAAAAATCGAGGAAAAAGTAAAATTCTTATAATCAAGATTTAAAAAAATTAATTTTAAAGGGTAGACGAGCACGGGCTCTTCTTTTGCATAATCCACATCCAATTCTCGGTTCTCTCCAAGATGGAGATAGAAGAATTGCTAAATTAGTGGAATGGACTAGCGAGTAAATTAATTTTATATTTTTTTGCAAGACGAGATTTCGAGCAATAATTTCGGTTATTGAAATAAAGATTCTTCGAGATATCTTACAATTTTCATACGACACTCCCAGTCTCAGTCTTTGTTTTAAAACACCTATTAATTAATTAAAAATTAAAGAAAAGAAATGTTTATTTTGTTGGATGAAAGTTTAGCATCTCTTGATTTATGGGAATTTAGTAGTTGTTTGGCTTTAGACCATAATTCTCTTCAATCTGGAAAAAATATTATTTGGATATGGAATGGATCTAAAGTAATTCTTAAAATACTTTAAATTCAAAATTACAATTTCTAAAAGCATTTTTCACTTCCCGGATTGGAATTTTCTGTTATTTATTACCCCCATCAATCTGATATATTTTTAAATTCTTCAATTGCTCATTCCCAACAATGTTCCCCTTTAGTTCAATTTTTTGCTTCTAAACTTTTGGATGATTTTGGTATTTAAATTTTGTATTTTTTTAAATAAAAGTTTTCTTTTAAAAAAAGAATGGACATCAAAACTTTTTGAAAAAAGAAAATTTAGACTTGAAACCCTTTCTTCACAAATGCTGAATGAACTTAAAAATATACTAAATATTTATTCAAAACAAATATTAAAAACAGAAAGGCCAATAACACAATGGATATTAATTGACTTGTTTAAAGTAATTTCTAATTAAATAATTAATTAAAAGTCTTTTTAATTAAAAAAAAGTATTTATCGTTAATTAATGGAAATGTTTCTTTTGTTTCTGAAAAAGAACTTTATAAAGAATTTAAACAAATTGGAAAAATTGAATTAATTTGTGGTGAAGAATTGGGAATGGAAAGGCCTGGATGGTTTAGATTAAGATATTTACCTAATGGTAAATGAGGGGAATTTAAATAAATAATTTATTTTTTTATTTTAAAGTTATTGAACGATTAAAAAATATTCTTGAAAACAAATTAATGCCTTTAAATAATCAAACAGAAATTGTAGATATAAATGAATTGGGATGTAAATATGGAGGAGGTATTAATTTATTTCCTGAAAATGAAATTGAAGAAGAAAAATTTAAAAAAGAAATTTGGGGGGAAATTGAAGGGGAGAAGGAAGAAGAAGGAGGAATTGGTAGAAAAATTTGGGATATAAGTGAAGGAGATGAAAATGAAGAAGGATTAAAAGAAAGGGAAAGGGAAGTGGAAGAAGACGAAGTTCTTAGCAAAGTTTTTTCAATTTTCCCAGAAGAACATTGGGAAAAGGTTTGTAAAGATCAGACTTGGTAATGTACATAAATTTTGGTATCTGATCCGGATATTTACGACGGATACAGACGGATATCCGCAGGCATTTTGAACTTATCTGTATCCATGTCCGTATCCATTACCAAGCCTGGTAAAGATATATTCTAAGAAGATTATTTAATTATTTTTTCTTTAAGCAATTAAATAATTTAACAAAAACTGAGATTGTGGATGTTGATAAATTAAAAGAAAAACAAAACTTTCGAGAAAACTCAAAAAATTTAAATATTTCCCAACAAATTCCTTCAACAGATTTAAGTTTTATAGAAGAATTAATTAAAAGTAGTAAAAGAGAAGAGAAGGAAGAAGAAATAATTAGTAAATGGAAATATTGTGAAGAGGAATTTTATGAAGAGGCTTTTACTGAAGATGTGGAAAATTTTGAAGAACAATCACCACAAGATTTATTAATTTCTCCAAACAAAACATTAGAATATTCTCCTTTGAGTGTTACTGTGCCTGATAGACCTAAAATTAATTTTTTTGAAACAGAAGAGAATAATACAACAAATATTTTGGATGATAGTAGTGATTCTAAAAGAATTATCGAAATTATTGACCAAATATTTAGAGATGCCGTTGAAATTAAAGTATTTTTAATTTAAATTGAAATTAATTTTTTGTTTTTTTAAAGGATTTTTCTTCTTCCTCAACAGAATCACATCCAAACAATGCAATACCTCAACATGACAGGCATTGGTCCGATTCTGGACTTGCTGCTGAATCTCCCCCAGATTTTTCTTCTTTATCTCCCCCACCCACAAATAAACAAGAAAAATCTTCGACTGTTGGAATTCAACTTCCTTTTGAAGAATTAACACCCGAATATAGCAGAAGACGTTTAATTGGCCCGAATGATCAAATGTTAGACGATTCTGGAATTTTTGTAGAATTACAGCCGGGGACTTTAAGTATTGACTTTCCTCTATTAGTCCCAATTGATAAATTAAATAAAGTAGAAGAAATATCTGAGGTATATTTTCTAATAATTAAATTTCTTTCAAAATTTTTTAGTCAATTTTACCCTCAAAAAATATTTCTTCTACAAATTTACATTTAAATAAAGAATTAATTAATAACAATAATATACCAATAATGACAATAGATTTACCGTTTAAATCTGTGGAAGAAGAAATTGTTGGTTGGAAACCTTTAGAAAATTTAAAAGAAGAAAATGAAAATAAAGAATTGCTTAAACCTTTAATTAATGAAAAAAGAAAATTAAGTGCAACAGATTGGTATAAACGTTTTGGGGATGAGGAAGATGAAAAAGAAGATGAAGAGGAAATTAATAAAAAAATAATTTTGGACCCTTCTGATATAGCGGCATTAATTAATGAAGGGGCTGAATTTTGTCCTATTATTAAAAAAGAACAACAAAAAGAAGAGGGGGAGGGGGGAGAGAATATTAAATGTTTGTTTTTAAGAAAATAAAAATTTTTTTCTTTTTAACTTAGCCATAAAATAATGAGACAGACTTGTAGATAATTTTTGTTTAAAAATAATTTTTCTTAAATTTTTAGCAAAAAGTGAAGTACTTGATTGGAAACCTCTTGAACAAATAAATATTTTAATTGAGGAAAAGAAGGAACAAGAAATTAGTGAAGAATATTTAGTAAATGATAATCAAGAAAATAATATATTTAAGGAATCAAGTAAAAATTTAAAAAATAAAGTGTATATTTTTATTATTTAGAAGATAGTTCATTTAATTCTTTAAATGATCAATTACCTATTATTTCTTCTAGAAAAAGTACAAAATCAGAAGCCTTAGATATTGTTTCTGAATGGAATAATAAATTAATAAAGAAAAAAGTTGAAGAAAATTTTGATGGAAATAAAGAAGAGGGAGAAGAAGAAAAGGTTGGAATTGAAATTAATTTTTTGAAAGTATTTTCTCTAATTATTTAAAGGTTAATATTGATATTCATTTAAATGGAGATAATTGGCAGGCTAATTCTAAAGTGTTAATTTTGCCTTTGAAAAAATTAGAAAAAGCTGAATTTAATATTAAAAATAAAGTAAGTAAAGATATTAGTAAATATTTATTTTCTAGTCTATTGTCGAACAATTTGAGGAGGAAGGCCATTTAAAAACAATTGTTCATTTAAATTCTCCCCCTAAAAAACCTCAAAGAACATCTTTGGACTCTGAGCCTGAACATTCTAATTTTCAAAAAATAAATGGAAGAAATGAGGAAAACAAAATATTATTTTCTTCTAATAATTCAAGTAAAGCTCAACAAATCCACCACAAAATGCAGATGCGTAGATGCCGTCGTAGACCTTTATCTGGCTCAAAATTGGTAGATAAATAATATAAAAATATTTTTTAATTTAAAGAATCGTAATCTTCTTACTGTTGAACATATAAATATAACACAATTAGAATATTTGGGTGGTGATATGTTAGAAAGAATTGAAAAAGGAGAACGTATTGTTACAAATATTTCAACAAAATTAAATAATTTTACTGAAAATGAATTATTTAATAAATTGGATTTTCAGCCAAATAATAATAATAATAAAAATGAAAGAATTAATAAATTTGTTGAAATAAAGAGGAATAGAAGGTAGGTTTTAAATTTAAATTTCCTCATAAATTTTTTTTATTTAGTGAAGAAACAGGCAAAATAAAAACAGAAACAAAAATAATTAAAAGTCAATTAAAAAACAAAAATAATGAAGAAATAAAAAAAGAGAATGCATCATTATATACAGAAATAACTTCAAATAATAATTCTGAAAATCCTTGTTTTTCTAATAAAAATACAATAATTTGGAGAAATATACCTATTAAACAACAAAAAATATCCTCTCCCTCGCGTATTTCAATTACAACAAGTCAAGGGGGAATTTTAAATAAAAATAATGAAGGAAATTGTGTTACTGGTTATTTTTAATTTTTAAAAATAAATTTAATTAATTTAAAGTTAAACACACTCCCGGCAATAATTGGTGTATTTCTTCAATTTATAAAACAACAGAATATGGATGGGAAAAACAAACATTGAGACCTCGTTTTACAACAAAATTTGATGAAATGCCAAGGAGAACAAGCACATAATAATTAATTTTAAATAAATTTATATATTTTATATTTAAATATTTTCTGTGAAAATAAAAATAAATAAATAAAATATATTTTAAATTAATTCTCATTTAAATTTATTTATTTCATTTTCCTCTTTAAAAGTCAAAAGAAAACTTTTTTTAATAAAAAATATTAGAAGGAAAAAATAACTCAAGTCAGTCATTTCAACATTTGTCCCTTAATTATGTAAATGGAGAATTTTTTAATGAAAGAAGATAGAACAAAAATTTAGAAAAAAAATAAGAATATTGACATTATAAATTGACATTACTATATTTATTTAAAAAAAAGAGTATTATTTAGTATTTAAGTATTAAAAATGAAAAAAAGAAGCCTTGGAATTTTTATAAGAATTATTAACCATTAATTTTTAATTTTTTATTATTTTGTTAAAATAATTTAAATATTTAATGCCCAAAGAATTTTCTTTAAATTTATCATCTTTAATTTTTTTTAATATTCGCCTCCTCTTCTAATTCCTCTAAACACATCCATTTAAATAACATATGTATTTATTACAAGCTACTTTATTTATTAGACAATATTTAATTTATTTGTGCGCGAAAGTATTTAAAAGATTGCTGTAATAAATTAAATGAAATAAATTTATTTTTAATATGTCAGCTGCCAAAATTTTAAATAATTTAAGAGAAAAAAATACCTAATTAATTAATTTTAAGAAATATTTTTAAATTTTTTATTAATTTTAAATTAATTTATTTTTTAATTTTGTTAATATAAAATCGTACATATATTTTTTATTCTTTTTTAAAAAAATCTTTTTTTAATAAAAGAAGACTTAATAATTCTATCCTCTTTCCTCATACATATATCCATTTTTACTAGTTTTATAGTTCACTAATTTCTCACGCCATTGCTTTATTTTATTTAACTAGTTTCGATATATCTATTTTTTGTTTCCGTCTTTTTTTGTATTTATTTTATTTTTTTTTTTGTTTAAAATTTGGCTAGAAATGTTTTTAATTTAAAAGATTTTCTTTTAAAATTTACGAGTAAATTATTAGTCTTTTAAAGTTGTACTTTTCTTTTAATATATTTTTTAAATAAAAATTATTAGATAAATTAAATAATAAACAAGTAAAAGGTTATACATAATTAAATATACCTAAGCATTTTTAATTTAATTTATAAACCTTTCTTCAATAATATTAGAATTTACTTCATTTTAAATATTTTTCAAATAAATTTTTCTAATATAAAATTAAAATGACCGCTCCTTCTCAAAATTTAAATGGCCAAAATAAATCCCCTTCCTCCTCCTCTTCTTCAAATTCTCATTCATTTTCTGCAGCATTTATTATTGTTTTATGGCGTCACAGACTTTCCCTTCATGGAATTAGAAAACCCAAAGGAATTCGTTTAATTATTATTGGACCTTCAGATTTGCTTATTAATGAACAAGAGTAAATTTTTAATTTAAAAAAAAATTGGGGGGAATATTTTAAAATTTTATTAGATTTATACAAAAATTTTAAAACAATTATTTAAAAAATCCTAAATTAATTTTTAAACAAAAATTTAAGAGTTGATGTTATTCACAATGTAGATGGCCCAATAACTGCAAAAGACCACAATTTTGCTGCTTTACTTCAAAAAACTAGAGAACAATGTTCTGCTCTCGAAAATGTTAAAAGAGTAATTTGTACATTCGAAAGATGCTTACAAAGACAAATTGCTCAGATTAGGGAAGAATTGGGAATTGAAGGGTTAACTGTTGACCAATTTGATCAATTAATGCACAGACAAAGTGTTAGGGCTATTTGTAAAAGAGGAGGGCTACAAACTTTAAAGTAGTTATTAATTTTTAAATTATTTTTAAATAAATATTTATTTAATTAGATTTTGTTCTTTTGGTTCAGTTCAAGGAAAACTAGATGAATGGGTGTAAGTAAATAATTAAAAATAAATTTTGGAAAATAATTATTCCATATTTTTAAATAAATAGAATTTTTAATTTAAATACATAATTAAATTAATTATTACGAATCCCGCTAACTCCTTGCTCTAGGGATAGCAATGAGCCTACGTATAAGTGAAGCAATGTGTTACCGGAAATTAAATTAGGCTGAAATATACCAAAAGAAATTGAAGAAATTTAAAATATTAGCGGGATTCCATTATATGTATTTTTAAACAAAATAATTTTTAATTTAAAGTTCTCATGCAAATACCCAAGTTTGTAATTACCCAATGTTGTTACGGCCAGTTTGTGTAGAACAAAATTGTTTACATACTTTAGCTATTGCAAGAAATAGTAATGAATTGAAAGAGTGGATTAAAGTAAAATTAAAAAAAATATTTTTTCGAATATTTATTTTAGGCCCGCCCCCATTCTTCTAATTTTGCCTCTGAAACAGATTATTTAGTAGAAGAATGTTTAATGGATGGTTTTGAATTTATTTCAATAGCTTCCACAAGAACTGGATTAATTGGTCTTTTAAATATTTTTTTTAATCAAAAATAAAATTCTTTTTTAAAGGAACTTTTTGTTCAATAGATTCTCGTAAAACTTTAATTTGTTCAGTTCTTGCCCAACAATCATATTCTATAGAATATTTAAATTCTGAAATGACTCGGGATGTCTTACCTGGAGTTGAAAGTTTTGTAATGCAAACATTAAAAACTGTGAAATTAATTTTTTAATTTAAAATTATTTTTTTTCTTTAAAGGTTTTTGTCCGTTCAGATATTTTCCCTCCTCTTGTATTTATTAAAGGGTTTTATAGAGGACATAATTCAATTACATTTTTGAGTGGTTCTTATGAACTTGGTAAAAAGTCTTTAACAAATCTTTTTACTTGGGCAAATGAAGGGAAAAATTGGGAAGTTATTTCAATTCAATGTGTTTTGGATGCTTTAATGGAAAATATTAATTGTTTAGTGCAAGAAAATGTAATTAATTTTTTGTTAAAAAGACTGGAAATAGAGACAAGATTTTTTTAAATTTGGGATTTTGTGTTATCTCTCTCTCTCTCTTTCTTCTTTGTTCATTCTTTTATTTAAAATTATATTTATTTTTAAGAAAATAAATGGATATAATAATTTAAATGAACATCAAAATGGTTGTTCTATACAAGAAAATGGATATAATAATACTAAAAATAAAAAACATTTTGCTTTAATTAATTTTCCAAACAATGAAGGGGTTCTTTTACATCAATCATCTATTCAATTACGTGCTTATTCTAATAGTAAAATTCGTTTAGCTTGGAGGGTATCTGAAGGAGAAGAACTTTTGGATGCTGATGGAATTGATGATAATATATTACAGGTAATAGTGAGGAGAGTTTAGTGGAATTTTAAAAGAAGATTCTCTCTGATTTTATAAGTAACATCTATGTGAAGATTCTATATAGAATCCTCACAATTTTTCTTTTATTCCTTAACATTACTTAAATATATTTTGGGAAGTAGAGGGGTGGGGGCAATTAAATTTAAAATTAGTTTTTAAAATTTTTCATTATTTAAGATCTTCCTAAATAATCCAAATCGTCATGAACTTCTTCGCGACATTGCAGATCTCTGTCGGCGAATAGAAATTCCAATTGACAGGAATTCAATGGCTGGAACTGAAAGGCGTTTACCTATTTGTAGGAGAGATTTACGTGCAATTGCTGCATCTTCTAGTTCCCCTTTTAGTTCTGGGCATCAATTAATTAGAAGCTGTACAACTACTGATTAAAATATTATTTTGTGTATATGTATGTATTTTTATATCCCTTTTACATGATTTGTGTAATAAATTTATTTGATGAAAAAAATCTTTAAATTTCTATTTAAATAAACTTTTTTACTCGTGCCCGCTCAACTCATCTAATACTTAACTCATCCACACGCCCAAAATCGCTCAACTCATCTAAACGGCTAAAATTCCTTAACTCATCCACACGGCCAAAAACGCTTAACTCATCCAATCCTCAACTCATCTAATGCTTAACTCATCCACACGGCCAAAAACGCTCAACTCATCCAATCCTCAACTCATCTAATGCTTAACTCATCTACACGGCCAAAAACGCTCAACTCATCCAATCCTTTGGAACGAGACTATTGAGTACCAGTCGTTTGAGTCCCTGGCCGTTTGAGTCTCTGGCCGTCTGAGTCTCTGGCCGTCTGAGTCCATGACCAGTTGAGTCTCTGGCCGTCTGAGTCTCTGGCCGTCTGAGTCCATGACCAGTTGAGTCTCTGGCCGTCTGAGTCTCTGGCCGTCTGAGTCCATGACAAGTTGAGTCTCTGGCCGTCTGAGTCTCTGGCCGTCTGAGTCCATGACAAGTTGAGTCCCTGGCCGTTTGAGTCCATGACCAGTTGAGTCCCTGGCCGTTTGAGTCCATGACCAGTTGAGTCCCTGGCCGTTTGAGTCCATGACCAGTTGAGTCCCTGGCCGTTTGAGTCCATGACCAGTTGAGTCTCTAGCCGGTTAAGTCCCTGGTCAGTTGAGTCCCGGCCGTTTGAGTGGTTGATTACCGCCGGTTGAGTCTTGGGCCGGTTGAGACTCAACTGACCAGGGACTCAACCGGCTAGGGACTCAACCGGCCGATATTTCAAGGATTGGATGAGTTGAGCGTTTTTGGGGGTGTGGATGAGATAAGCATTAGATGAGTTGAGGATTGGATGAGTTGAGCGTTTTTGGGCGTGTGGATGAGTTAAGCATTAGATGAGTTGAGGATTGGATGAGTTGAGCGTTTTTGGCCGTGTGGATGAGTTAAGTGTTAGATGAGTTAAGGATTGGATGAGTTGTAGGGTAGCCTTTTTACTTTAACTTAAATTCTTTAATAAAATATTACAAAAAAATTAATTATTAATTTTATTGTCTCACATTTTTTAATTTAAAATATGTTTTTTAAAATTAATTAAATTATTTTTTCTTCTTTTCTTCCCAAATACTATTAATTTCGCCTTGAATATATCCAACATGTTGATTATTGTCATCCGAACGGAAATACCCGTTCTCTTCTTCAATTTCTTCGTTTTCCTCTTCTTCTGGTTCTTCTTCCCCTTCATATACTAAAAATAAAAATTTAAATATTTTCATAATTAAATAAAATTTTAATTAAAATATTTTTTTTTTATTTTTCTAACTTTCTTCAGTTGTTGTTGAAATTTTTGGCTCTTTTGTAGTTTTTGGTAATTCAGTTGTTGGTTTTGGAATTTTAGTTTTCTCCTTAATGGCACGTTCAAAACGTTGTGGTGGGAGTAGTCCAAGCTCAGATTCTGCATCATTGATTTGGGATGGGGCTTGAAATTAATAAAAATAATTAGACTGTTAAATATGAATTAATTATGTATTTTTAAAATTTTACCAGAACGTTTCACTTTTTTAGCACCAAAGGGGGTACCAGGAGGCCATACAATTGCTGGCGGTGGGAGAATTGGCATAGCTGGGGGCATTACGACGTTGCTTTGATTTGCTGGAAGAAGTGATGCCCAAGGCTGTTGTGGATTTGGTATCAAGGGATCTTAAATGCAAAAAAAAATTGATTGAGGCTTATAGATAATTAACTTGGAATTGGTGGAATTGGCTGAGAAGGAGTTAGTTGCCAAGGGTCTAAAAAGAATGTAGAAATAGATTTAATAATTAATTAAAACTTGGTATTTGTGGAATTGGTTGAATGGGACTCATCGGTTGATAGGGTGATGGGTAGATGTACGTTGGATAACCTAAATTATTAAGATATTAGATAGTATTATACTTTAAATTTATTATACTTTAAATAATGTTAAAACTATCCCAATCTAAACATACCATAAAACCAGTATTACAATAACGCCTCTATTAATCTTTAATAATACAAGTTTTATAGTAATTAAATCTAATTTATTCCCATATATGTATTTTGTGACTAACCTCCGCCATAATGATGCTTTTTGTGACCATAACGATGACCACGACGGTAGCCTCCTCTGTAGTGTCCATGTGGATATTCTTCCTCACTGGAGCTACTGCCATAAGAGTTGTATTTGCTTTTTTTGTAACCGCCGCCGTATTTTCCGCCGTACCCCCCGTCGTAGCTGGGCTTGTAACTGTCGTAGTTAGGCTTTTTGTAACCATCGTCGTAGCTGGGCTTGTAACTGTCGTAGCTGGGCTTGTAACTGTCGTAGCTGGGCTTGTAACTGTCGTAGCTGGGCTTGTAACTGTCGTAGCTGGGCTTGTAGCTATCGTAGCTGGGTTTTTTGTAACCACTGTCGTAACTGGGCTTGTAACTGTCGTAGCTGGGCTTTTTGTAACCATTGTCGTAGCTGGGCTTGTAACCACTGTCGTAGCTGGGTTTCTTGTAGCCATTGTCGTAGCTGGGCTTGTAATTGTCGTAGCTGGGCTTTTTGTAACCATTGTCATAACTGGGCTTGTAACCACTGTCGTAGTTGGGCTTTTTGTAGCCATTGTCGTAGCTGGGCTTGTAACTGTCGTAGCTGGGTTTTTTATAACCACTGTCGTAACTGGGCTTGTAATTGTCATAGCTGGGCTTGTAACCATTGTCGTAGTTGGGCTTTTTGTAGCCATTGTCGTAGCTAGGCTTGTAACTGTCATAGTTGGGCTTTTTGTAACCACTGTCGTAACTGGGCTTGTACCCGCTGTCGTAGCTAGGCTTTTTGTAACCACTATCGTAACTTGGCTTATAACCGCTGTCGTAGCTGGGCTTGTATCCATCGTCGTAACTGGGTTTTTTGTAGTCCGTCCCATATTTACCTTTATCATATGCGCCATAACTGTTTCCAGATACAAATAAAGAAAAACGAAGGAAGAAAAATATTACAGATATAAACAATAACATTTTGGGTAACATCTTTATTATGGGACAAATGTGAATGAAGATAAAATAATCTGTCTGAATTTATATGCTTTTAAATATGTATGTGGGTGGATGAGACATTTTCTTAAATTTTTTTCAACCAAGAAATTATTTGTCAATGTTGTTCTTATTCATGTTCTCAATATGCAAGATAAAATCATGACATTTATAAACTATTAACATTTCGATTATTAATGACAAACACAAAATTAATAAACAATGTTTAAAAATTTTGTTTAAAAAATCGTTGAATTTACTGGCCAAAGAAAATTTAAATGTCGAGAATCATGCAGATGATTGTGAATAATCTTTTCACATCGCAAAAATTGAGCAAATAAGAGAATTTGACATTTTCAATAAATTCAACAAAATGTATCACCTTTCAAATGAGGGTTAACAAATGAGTTAATCATTTTCCGAATACTGTAAAAATTTAATAAACTTTTTAAACTTTACAATGCAAGTGAATTTCAGCTTTAGTTTTAATGTTTATTTTAATTTTGCAGGAGTAAATTATAAAAATTTAACATATGTAAAGTTTCTGTTATACGAATATATAATTAAGATTGGCGGTTCCTGGGAAATCTTTTTTTCCTGGAAATCCTGTCTTTTTTCGGTTCATGATAACTGGAATCGGCAACCTTATATGTAATAATTTCACTTTCCCAAAACATGTGGTTGATATGCCTTGAAGGGAGAAGCACTAAAATATTCAAGACCAGAATTGTTAATTATTTATTAAAATCTTTGCAAAAATTTAAATCCATTGAAAATATATCACTAATTATTGTCAAATTACTAATATAAGTCAAATTAGAGGAAAAATATCTACAAAATGAATTACATATATTTACTAGTCTTCTCTATTCTTTATTAAAAAGTCCAAGTTCAGTAGCCTCCCTTTCTACCCATGCCAAAATTTTCTTCGGATCATCACCCAATGGAGAATCATCTTCCTCAGTTTGTAACGCATTAGAAATAAAATCTCCTTTAATTTTTTAATAAAATATTTAAGTAATTATCAGTTTACTGTGTGCTGAAAGAATTCTAAATTCATCATCTTCATCTCCATTAAAAAGTTCATTCTCATCAACAAAGGAGGACAAATAATTGAGGTTCAATGAACTATTGTCAGCTTGATCTAGAATAACCCGAGAGCCGCATGGACGCCGAATTTTGTGTGGTTCACAAATTGTTCCACCAATAATAATTTTCACAGGATTGGCATGAGGATTTGACTAAAAATGGATAAAGGTTTATAAACAGAAAAGAATATACCTCATTTTTAAACAGTCCACAAAGCTTCAATATTGACTCGTTTGATACCTTAAATATTTATAAAATTAAAATAAAATAAAGTTAGGAAAATTAGGATTAATTTGTGATAAAAGAAGCTGATACGAGCTCAAAAACGAAAACTGTGATCGAATTGGACATTTAAATTAATATACACAAACATACCAAAATACATCCACTTAAATCTACATTCTCTAATTTTGTTAAATTTCCAAGTTCAGCAATTCCATCATCACCCAAATAACTACAATTCCTCAAAAAAATTGTTCGTAATTCCAAACAACCATCATTGCAAATTGATTTTAATACTTGAACGTTTAAAGCTGCTAAACCGCTCAAATCTAATTCTTCCAATTTTTTAAATTTTGCCAATAAACACAATCCATTAGTTGTTATTTGACAATCTGTGCCAGCAAATGAAAGTGTAAATTTTCGAAGATTTTGGAGATTATCAGAAATAGAAGAAAGTAAATTGTCATCAACTAGAGGGTTATAATCCAAACTAAAAGTATGAATCTCTAAAAATTTTTATAACAAATAACCTTAAAGTTTGAAGAGAGCTAATTCTTGAAATTTGTTTGAGACCATTATTTGTAAAAAGGGGAAATAAACCACACAATGTTAGAGTTGTAAGTTCGTTAAAATTGCGTGAAATTAAACTAGAAAATTTTGATATAAAAAACTAAAAATTAAATTAAAATACCTTAAACTTTCATCGTTTAATTTTTTGCATCCATCAAGTTTAAAAGTGTGAATACAATTACAGCGAACACTTAAATCTTCAATTACATGATTGTCCAAGAGAATACATCCGTCCAAAAGAACCTGCAGTTAATGAAAATTATTTTGAGATTGTGAATTTAAAAAAAATTTAAATCTTCCAAAAATACCTCCTCAAGAGCAGTTCCAAAGAGAGTGAAAAAGCTTCCTTTTAACCTTGTACACCCACGAAAATCAACAGAACGAAGTCTACTGGCCATAGATTTAAGTAAAAATAAAAAGGCCTTTTCGTTCGTTTGAGTCATTCCACAATAAGCAATTTTTGTCAATTTTGGAAACGATTCTGATAAAACTCTTAACGTTTCTGGAGAAGCTGTAATACTTGAAAGATTGAGCTGAAAAATATTTATTTTTAAAATAATTTATAAATAAACAAACATTAGTTAATTCCGGACAGAGAGCTCCAATTTCAAGTACAGAATTCTCATCAAATAATTGATTTATATCAGCAAGACTTAATGAACGAATATGTGGTCCACAACGACGAAGAATTGCTTTAAGATGGGCATGACACATGGGAAAAGATTTGTTAAAATGTCGCAGTAATTCTGGCTCTTCAGAAAAATGAAGAGAACGACTTTGTGCCCAAGCTTTTGTTGAAAGCTCTAGCCAATGTTTACTGACACGTTCAAATCGAATACGATCTAATGGGCCGACAAAAAAGAGAATACGCGTCAAAGCTCGATCAGGAAGTTCATCAATCGGAATTGAGGCAGAGGGGGCTGTTGAAGCCAAAGTCTAAATTTTAAAGTAATTTTTTAATATATTTGCTGAATAAAGACGTTTATAAAAAAGAAAATTATAAAAAAAATTAATTTAGAAAAACTGATAAAAAAATACCGCAGAGGAACAAGTTGTAGTTGAGGCTAACGAACTACCAGATGATGTCCGGGAAAGTTTTCCAATTGAAAAGGATTCGTGATTAAATTCAGAATCCAGCATTTTTGCGTTTGGAGAAGAAACAGTCCGTCTCCATGAAGCAGATGAAGCAATATACTGAAAAAAAACAAATTTTAAAACTAAAATTATTATAATAGTATACCGGCATTACAACCATTTGTTGTCCATAAAATAACAATTCCTCTGGAAGTGCTCGTTTGGCTTTTACTGCGGATTGAGGATTTCTAAAGTAAAATTAAATGAAAATATGCGTGAATATTGAGTCTGCATTCCATTCATCAAAAATAATAAAAAAATAACAGACTTGAAGGTAATTAAACAGGTTCCGTGTAATTTCTTTTTTGGCATTGTTGCATATACACTTGATCCTTTTGATGAAGGTATGCGACAAGATTGAACCTTAAAAATAGAAGGAATAAAAAAAGTAAAAGAAAGAATGCCTTTCCAAATTTGCAAAAGAATGATTGCAATTGATTTCTTGTTACTTTTGAAGAAACATTACTGACACAAATTCCCTTTTCCTCCAAACTTGCTTCTACTTGTCGAGCAGTAAAAGGAAGGCCATCAACTCCAATGTCCATAAATTCTTTAAAAATTATTTAATAAATTTAGTGTTAAATTTACAAAAAAACCGTCAAAAACACTGCCAGGATCTTGTTCATCTCCAACAATCATAGGCAATAAACGTCTATATTTCATAAATTCAAGTGCAGAATAAGACCAGGTTCTCCGAAGCCTGCCAACACTGAAAAATTTTACTCTAGTTACAAAGCTCTGGAAAGCTTCAGAAAGGTTGTTTAATCCTTGGCTCTCCAAATTATGACCATGAAGTCGTCGAAGCATTTTAAATGTTGCTTGTGATTGAAAGGCTTTTTCATTGTTGTAGGCATCCATTATAAGTAAAGAATCTTAAAGTTATCATAACATAAGAAAAAAATTAAAACATTAACAGAATTAAATTAAATGGGCATTTTTAAATTTAGATATTTTGACTTTTTTAACAAAATTTTCTAACGTTTTGTATTATTCTATTTTGCATATTTTACTAAATTTTGCCATTTCGCCACATGGACAAATACAAATCTTAGTCATTTAACAAAATTTTATTTTTAATTATTGTTTTTAAATAGAAAAATGCAACAATTTGTTTCTCATATCAACAGAAAACGGCTCAATTCAGCTGGAAAAGATGAAGATGAAAATCCTCTCCACTGGTTTATTTTCATTTTAACAAATAAAATTTAAAAATATTTTTTAGCAAAATTTGTCTCCAAATATTTAATGAGCCTTATAGCACAATCTGTGGACATACTTTTTGTAGATCTTGTATTACTCGAAGGTATTGCTTATTTTTATATTAATTATCTTTAATTTCATAGTATTCAACATTCTCCTCAATGCCCTATCTGTGATACAAATTTAGATGTTAAACGGCTAAAAACTTTGTGCCCTAATTTTACTGTTTCTTCAATGATTGATAAAATTCTAGTTGACGTTGAAACAAAAAAGGAACATTGTAAAGGACATTCGTCTCAAACGGTTACCGGCCAACCAGATAATGGTGATCAGATTTTACAAATGATACAGGTAAATTTTTAATGCTAATCTAAAAGTAAAATTTAACAAATTTTTTGGTTATATTTTTTTAATTCTTTTTATTCATTTCATTATTCTAAGAATGCTTATTTTTGCTAACCTCTTAGAATTGTTTTCTCGACGATTTTTTATGACTTCTTAATAATAGAATCAACAGCTGTCATTGGAGTCAGTTCAACGAATTTCTGAATTGCTTAAACGTCGACAAACGGAATTAGAATTGAATAATCAACAGATCCAAAATTTGCTTCTTAATGACTTATTTGACCGTATGATTGCTAAAAGAGAAAATACAGCAAAAATAATACAAGCCGAATTGGACACTCTAAAACGGGATAAACAACATATTTTTGTTGGTTTTTAATACATTTTTTTAAATAATTAAATATTATTTTAGAATACATTAACTAGCCAACTCAGTCCAAGCTCTTTACAACGTTTAGTTCCTGATAGTAATCAAGTTATGCAATTATTGTCTGTTGATCCATCATTATCTAATACCTCCAACGATCACTTGGCACCTTTAGCAGAAGAAAACAATCTTCGATCTGACTCACCTACGACTCCTCAAACTCTTCAATTTCAAGCTAACCTTACAGAAAAATTGTATCATTATCGACGAAGAATGTGTCGACATGTTGCATCGCTTGAATCTGCCTATTTTGGTTCTAAAACCTCTCTCAATGTTAATAAGAATAGCGGTAAGTTTCAAATAAATTTTTTGGTAGTCCCCTATAACTAAAAATTAATTTTCTGTTTTTCCAAAATTTAATTGTTTTTCAAAGAAAATCCCAATTTTCCTTTTAATAGACATTAGTTCTTCCCTCGGTAGTGTTTCACATGCTGAACTTGACGAATTTTCTGAAACAGTCAAACGACTTTATCAATATGGAGATATGAAATTACTTGCAACGTTAAACTATAATCTGGAATCTAACAGCTCTCTTTCTATCGTCTCTAGTATTGAATTTGATAAAGATGGAGAATTTTTTGTGATTGCTGGAGTGGCCAAGAAAATTAAATTATACAATTATGAGGCTATTGTCAACTTCGAAGGGGAATTACACTATCCATTGGAGCAGCTAATTTGTAATTCAAAAATTAGGTTTATTTTTTAATTTATTCTATAAAATGTATATTTCACTTTTCGGCCATTTATACATAAACTTTCGATTATCTGAAAATCAGTCCTCCATAGATGAATGTTTTTATTAAATATTTTTAGCAATATTTCTTGGAATCCATACAATAAGAACATGTTGGCAAGCAGTGATTATGAAGGGACTGTTCAGGTTAATTTATATTTTATAGTTAATCTTTTTTTATGTAAATAACTTTTTGTCTGAACCGAGTATTTTTCTATTTCCAAAATTAATTTTTAGCTTTGGGACACTGCAGCTGCCGTGTGCACTCGTACATTTAAAGAACACGAGAAACGTTGTTGGACAGTTCAATTCAATAATATTGACCCTCATTTAATGGCTAGCGGAAGTGATGATGGAAAAGTAAAATTATGGGCGTTACATGCCTCACAGTCTGTTTGTACAATTGATGCTCGTGTGAATGTTTGTTTTGTTAAAATAATTTCTGTTAAAAAATTTGATCGGAATTATAGGTTTGTTGTGTTTATTTTTCTCCAAAATATCGGAATCAGGTTTTTTTTTTAAATTTAACTTTCAAATTTAATTTCTATAATTTTAAGCTAGTATTCGGTTCTTCAGGTATTACATATTTTTCTTTATTTTTATATTTCAAAGTAATTATAGACCATTGTGTGCATCTTTATGATATTCGACAACCAGGAAAACCATTGAATGTCTTTCGTGGGCACAAGAAAGCAGTCTCATATGTAAAATATGCCAACGAGGACGAAGTTATCTCTGCGTGAGTTATTTATACGAGTGCAGATGTTACTTGAAATATTTTAGTTCAACAGACAGCAATCTGCGCCTATGGGACGTTAGCACTGGAAAATGTCTTCAAACAATGCGTGGCCATCAAAACGAGAAAAATTTTGTTGGAATGGCAACAGATGGAAATCACGTTGTTTGTGGTTAGTCATTGAAAACTAACATAAAATGACCGATATTTCATTCACGATTATAGGGAGCGAAAACAATAGACTATATCTCTACTACAAAAAAGTCTTTGATCCCTTGCTTTCATTCGACTGCACAACCCGCTCTGTGGACAACATACAACCAACCGCGCCAGAAACGATTACTGGGAATGCTACCTCATCTACTAACCCGTCCCCTTCGTTTTCTGATCCTGTTCCACCAACACAACACCATTCAACTAATGATTTTGTTTCCGCGGTTTGTTGGAAACGTAATACAAGTATTGTCCTGGCAGCTAATAGTCAAGGACAGACATTTATTCTTCAGTTGAAATGACAGTTTAGATTTAATTAAATTCTAAAGACTAATTGCAAATTTACAGCATTTTTCATATTTTTATTCTTGTCTCAATGCTATGAAAACATAGTTCGAGTCCCTTACCTTTTTCATGTTGTTTTTAAATAACATTAAGATAATTGCTTGAAGAACCAAATTGACTAATAGTAAGGACTGAAAAAGGAAAGGGACTCAAACTACCAAACCTGCACGTTTTGCCTAGCCCTACTCATGTTTATTGCTTGCAAGACCATTGGAAAAAATCCTCAGAAATAAACTTTTCATTTAATAAATTTCAAAATTCATTTCATAACAATAGTGAACAGTTACTAAAAGTCTTTCTTCATTAAAAGTAAATATTCCTCTACCAGCGCGAATCAGACCGTCCCGAATTGCCCGAGTATCCGCCACCTCGTCCGCCTCGAAAGTTACGAGATCCTCTTGAATTGTTTGATTTGTAAGGACTTGCTTCACCTTCATCTACAATTTAAGCATTAGAGCACAAAATATTTCAAACTCTACAGCTAATATATGTAAAACAAATTTAAACATACTCACCATCGTATCGAATACGCTTTGACTCTCCTCCTCCAAATCCATCAAATTTCCCACGCCCGCTATCGCTTCTGCCTCGGCTTCCTAAAATTGCGAGTTAAATTAAAAATCAAAAAATGACAGTGTCAACCTCCCCCTCTGCCTCTCCCGCCATATGAATTTTCGTTTCCAGAATTCCAATCGCGCTTTCGACCATTACCTCTGCCCCGTCCATCACGCATAAACGCAATTATCTCCAATTCTTCTGGGATGTTCTGATTAGCCTCTTGTAAGACCTTGACTAGATCAGCTGCCTTTGCATTGTCTCCACTTGTAAAAAAGGAATAAGCAGTTCCCTGAAATTTTCATTGATTTGAATATTCTGACTTTAAGGGTTTAAATATTAAAACCTTCTGATCACGACGCCCAGTGCGCCCAATTCGATGGATATAATCTTCTGAACTGTTTGGGTAATCATAATTGATCACGAATTTTATGTCATGCACATCTGAGAAACGAAAAAGTAATGAGAATTAACTAAATGAAAATCTAACTGTCAAAATCAATAAAATTGTTCCTTTTCTTTTAATTTAAATTCAGAAAATATTTTTGGAATTCTCAGAATTTATTGCATTTGCAAATAAAGCAATTGCAAACCTTACTCCAGCTGCACGCAAATGTCGCTATTTTAATAAGCGAACAATTGATGCGCAGAAATGAACAAATTTTATGCTCTCCACCTTCTAGACCATGAATATGGCCGCGAAGAAGAAAGGAAGCATTGACTAGTTTTTTCTTCTTTACCTATGCCCCTCGCTGCAACATCCGTAGCCAAAAGAATGCTAGCTTTTCCTTGTTTGAATTCTAAAATTAAATTAACTTTTTGAAAGAAAAATAGTTTATTTACGTTCTAAAACCCAATTTCGTTCACTTTGGTCTTTGTCTCCATGAATACATAATGCAGGATAACTGGAAAAGTAACGTATTTAGATTATGAAACTAAACTAGTACCCAGATTGACGAACCAAACGAGAAAGTTCATCAGCCTTCCTCTTAGTTTTGACAAAAATGATCGTCTTAGATTGAACCTAAAAATATGCGAAAGTTACTATTTAAAATAAAAAAAACTTGTTTCGAAATATCTTCAAGTATCTCTTCAAGTCGTTTTGTTTTGTTATACTCATCAATCACTTCAACATTTTGCTCAATGTTGTGGTTGGCAGAAAGCTCCAAAGATCCAACAGTTAAATGAATTGGATTCTTTTGAAAATCTGAAGCAAGTTTGCGCACATCTTGTGGCCAAGTTGCTGAGAACATTAATGTTTGACGATCATTCTAAATTCATAATTAATAGTCCGCAGAAAAAGATTAATATAAGTCATACAATAAGAACTTACTCGAATTTGTTGTGCAATTTTACGAATCTGCGGCTCAAAACCTAATAGATGAAATTTTAAACAGAAATAGCGTAAATTTACCCATATCAAGCATCCTATCAGCCTCATCCATTATAAGCAAAGAACAACGTTTTAACTTCACAACATTCGTGTCAATAAAATCCGTAAGCCGGCCAGGCGTAGCTACACAAATATCAACACCTGAGAAATGATCAAGATTAAAATCTGTAAAATTCAAAACAGTAAGTGCTAAACAGACCTCTCTTCATAGTTGACATCTGTGGCCCCTTAGGTGAACCGCCATAACAACAAGCAAGATTAATTCGCATAACCTTGCAGTATTCCTGAGCCACTTGTTCTACTTGCTGAGCAAGCTCTCGAGTTGGAAGTAGAATAATGACAGCTGGTCCATCCTGAAGATTTCGTGTTGGCTGTGACTGAACATGCACAATAGAAGGCAGAATGAAGCCAATTGTCTTGCCAGAACCAGTTTTTGCTATTGAGATCTAGAAAGGAAGGAACAATATTGCAAATAGTAAGAATAAAACCAGATCATGCCCGCTCAAAGCGACCGGCCAAGAAATGCTTTGAATTGGTGTCGGTTTTTGAAAATGAGTTAGCAGAAGATTAACAATCATTCCTAAAAAATTGAAAGAAAATACTAGACATGAAATTTATATTAAGCAGACCTGGAAAGGTTGATTCTTCAAATTCAAAAACTGGGCATGGCACATCCTCGCCATTTAACGAAACATTATTCTCAGTCATCCAACGATCCACATCGGCCTGATCACGAGCTTGTACAGAAGCAACCGGAGTATAATTGTCTTTGCTAATAGGCACCAAAGAGCTGCTGTCACTTTCATTGGAGGGATTCCAACGACTAAATCCGCCCGTTTTTAAAGTGTTAGCTCTGCCTCCATGATCCCCGCTACTACCAGAACTGAATCCACCCTTGTACCCAGAACCATTAGCTGCACCAGACCCAGAAGAGGAATTTGGCCAATTATAGTTAGGCTGAAATAGTAATCTTACATTAGTATTATATGGCACTTAATTAACATTTTGTGAACGCCCGCCACGGTTGTTCCCATAGGCATTTCCACTAAAGAACATTTGAAGATATTAAATCTGATCTCTAAAAATAATACATAATATTAAAAAATGTCAACAATTCTGCTTATTTGCACGGAATTCGCAAATGCTAAACACGTGAATTTATAAATATTCATGAAACTTTTAGAAATATCGATTTTTGCAACTTGACGTGAACCGAAAATTACGGTAAAGCCCGTTTCAGAGTAGCCGATTCAGTGCAGCCAAACGAAGGCCGTTTCATAGTAGCAGGTTCGAGTACGGCAAAAAGAGGACGTTTCAGAGTATATAAATTTTTGACCTACAAAATCAATTTTTCTTGCGATTTTTTTAGTTTTCCTTACTTCATACGATCTAAGTAACATTCTAAAAGGTGGCCTTGAAACCGGTAAATCCGTGATTCTTTAGTTCCGTGATCTGGTCCCCCCACGATATTTTTCTTAAATTCAGAAGAAATACCAAATAACAGACCAAGTGTTTTGTAACAAAAATCGTTAGTTTATAAATTGTTTACTTTATCAATAAATTAAAGACAACTAAATATATATGTATCAAGTCAAAATTTTCAAAACATTAAAATTTTTAATCTTTCAATTGTTCACTTCTAACCCCAACAGCAGCCAATTCCTCTTTAACCCGTGAAAGATAGCCAGGATCTGGATAGCCATAACTAAAGTTTAAATTTTATTAAAATTTTTTTTTTTTTTACAATGTCTAAGCGCAATTCTTCTGAATTCTCTCCATTAAATTTTGCAGCAAATATGACAAACAACGAAAAACGCAGCAAAATTGTTGAACAAATCAATTCTTTAAATTTTGACAAAATTTCGACTGAAATGGAACAAGACAAGACAACACCTAATTGGGCGAAATTAATTATTGGACAAATGGGCTCTCTTCTGAAAATTGCAGCAGACCTTCTAAATGAACAACAAAATTCTTATGGAAATTTTGAACTTCATTTACAAAAACAACAACAGCAATTTGAGGAAAACGAGCGTCTTCACAGCATAGTAATTACTGGAATGGAAGAAAGTAATAAATCAGATGCTCTGGAGCGTGTGAAGGAAGATCAAAACAAGGTTTTAGAAATTATTAATATGTGCAAAGTTGACATTGGTTTGCCAACTGCTATTTTTCGTATGGGTGTTAAAAAAATTAATTCTTGTCGTCCAATTAAAGTAAAAATGCCAAGTAAGGCAGCGGTTAGGGAAATTTTAAGGGGCAAAAAATATATTATTAATAATAAAATAAATACAAACACACATTTCAATATACGGGTTAGGGAGTCTTTAACCGCTGCTGAGCTTAAATCTCGCTCAGACCTCGTTAAACAATGTTTTAAAATGCGTAGTGAGCACCCCGGTGCTGACTATGTCATTTATGCCTCTAATATAATTTTGAGAAGTGAGATAGACAATTTCAAAAAAACTCTTCCAAAAAACTAAGAAGTCATCTCACTTCTCCTATAAATAAATATACTCTAGAACCGACTATTTCCCATGAAAAAAATTCCAATTTATTTTTAAACAAAAAAATAAAAGGATGCCTTATAAACATTAGATCTTTAAAAAATAAAATTGACGATATTTCCTGTATTTTAAGTGCATGTAACATAGATATCCTCTTTGTAACTGAAACTTGGCTTACAACAGAAACCCAAAATATTTTTAACTTAGATATACTTGAAAATTTTAATATAGTTCTATGCAATCGAGTTAATCGTAGGGGAGGCGGCTGCGCTATTTTGATCCGAAAGCATATTAAGTTTTTCGTTAAACAGTCTATCTCTAAATTTAACTCAGAAATAATTCATCTACAAATACAAAATTCTAAATGCATTAATTTCATTCTTATCTATAGACCTCCAAATACTAGTATCATTCAAACTAAAAAACTTTTTAAACTGATTGAATCTTTTATTTCTTTTAATTGCATCATATTGGGAGACCTTAATTTTGGCACCAAGGATTTGAATTGGATCAATAATATTCCATATTGTAAAAACAGTTTAGGTGATCTATTTCTCAATTTTTTCAATTCTGCTAATCTATCTTCAACTACACCTGGTCCCACTAGAAATGATGCATATTTGGATATTTGTTTAACAAATAAACCTAATTTATTTCAAAATATTTATGTTGATGGGTCCTTGTTTAATTCTGATCATGATGCTTTAATCTTTGATTTATTATTCCCTATAAGCAAAAAAGAAGTCAAACCCATAAAATATAGAAAATATAATAAAGATAATACATTTCTATTAAATAGATTTCTATCTTCTGTTATACCCGTTATATCCACACAAAATTATTATTTGGAAGATAAATATAATCACCTCGTAAATAATATCTTAACTTCTCTTGATTTATATGTACCAGAAAAACTTATAACTAAAAAAGATCTTAAACATGATTACCCTGCTCACTTAAAAGCATCTATTAAAAAGAAAGCTGAAATTTATAGGCTACTTAAAACTGATAAAATTAAATATAAAGAATTATATGATAGCATATCATTGCATATAAAAATTCAGTCTAGAAATTTTCATAATAAAAAACAAAATGCTTATATTACTAAAAATATAAATTCTATTCATAAATATCTTAAAAGATTTAAATTTACAAATAATGAAATCCCTGTGCTTTACCATAATAATAGATATATAACAAAATCAATAGATAAGTCTGAAATTTTTGCTGATATCTTTCTTGAAAATTTTTCTAATACAAATATGCAATATAACCACAATATCAATAACAGCAATCAAATATCTATTATCGAAGATATTGATTTTGACATAATTGATATTATCAATTTCATTAAAAAATTACCAAATAAAAATGGGACTTCACCTGATAATATAAATTATAAAATATTAAAAATTGCACTTCCGTCTATAGCTCCTGTTCTGTCTGAAATATTCAGAATATCACTAGATTCAGGTATATTACCAAAAATATGGAAAGAATCTATAATTATGCCACTATTCAAAAAAGGAGAAAAATCTAATCCTGAAAATTATAGACCCATTGCATTAACATGTGCCTTATGCAGAGTCATGGAAATGGTTCTTAATAAATACATCGTTCAATTTCTTCATGACAATAATTTATTTAGTGATAATCAATTTGGATTTATAAAAAATAGATCCACTACAACACAATTAATTACTACATTAGAAGATTGGTATGATGCAATAATGGGAAAAAAGAATATTGACTGCGTATACATTGACTTCAAAAAAGCTTTGACTCAGTACCACATGATCTTTTACTCAATAAATTATATAAAATAGGTATTAGAGGAAAGATTTTAACTTGGATTTCATGTTTTCTTTCAAATAGAACTTTTAGAGTCAAAATAAACAACACGTTATCCAAACCTAGAAATATTAAATCAGGTGTACCACAAGGATCCGTTTTAGGCCCATTATTATTTCTGATTTACATTAATGATTTACCTGATATAATCCCAAATGGTATAAAAATTAAACTTTTTGCTGATGACGTCAAAGTATATGTTATACATAAAACTAAAAATGAAAGAAGAATGCTAACTGATGCTATCAAAAATATTGAACAATGGGCAACTGAATGGAAATTAAATATTGCTATTAATAAAACATATATCATTTATCTTGGTAAAACTAACCCTAAAGATCAATATAAAATTTTTAATACAACTATAAATGAAGTAGATTCTATACGTGATCTAGGCATCATAATAGATAATAAACTCAAATTTCAAGAACATGTACAAAAAATTATTCGGGCAGCTTATATAAAAATGAATTTTGTGTTTAAAATAATTAAATCAAAATCTATAAAAACATGGCTTACTATCTATAAAAGTTATATAAGACCCTTGCTTGAATACTCTCCTGAAACATGGAATCCACAGCTAAAATCTGATATTATCAAACTCGAAAAATGCCAAAAATTCTTTACAAAAATCTTACTTCGAAAATGTTCACTACCCTATATACCATATTTACAAAGATTGGAATTTCTTAATCTTCCTACTCTTGAAAATCGTCGTAAGACTTATGATTTAGTATTAGCTCATAAAATCCTACACGGGTATACACATCTTAAATCAGATGATCTTTTTAAAGTATCAAATAGAAAAAACTGTTATTTGTTATCTAAAAATCAAACATCAAAATCTTCCAATTCATTTGTTAATAGGGTAACCAAGATGTGGAATGTTTTAAATGATGAACTCAGAACTACAAAAATAACACTTAGTTTTAAAAATAAAATAAAAGCAATACTCATTCAGTAAATCTACAATTTTGAAAAAATATTCTGAATTCTAATTTCACTTACCTATTTGGAAAAAATATTCTAAATTCCAGTTTCACTTTCTTATTAACAAATTAAATCCAAAAAATCTTAGATCTAGAAAATTTTCCAATTTCATCACAAATAGCATCATTCAGAATTGACAGCTATTTCAAGCTCAAAGCCTCTAAATTCTTACAATGTTTAAAAAATCGTAGTAAAATTTCAAAATTTTTCATGTTACATGTCCAAGATTCAAATGTTTATTTTGAATGTTAATTTCTTAGGAAGAAATAAAATGTTATCAACTTTATAAGAAATAAATAAAAAATATTTACTTTATATAAAAAATCCTCTGTTAAACGTAATTTTTCCATTTTTTTTTTA